CCCTGGCTGGAAAAGAGGTGTCACGCTTGCACCAGAAGCACTATTTTACTAAGAGAAATAAAGCCAGAGCCCATATTTTCATCAACTGATTCTTCTCAAGACATTTATCTTCTGTTTTCTGTTGCATTGTTTTAGTTGTTTTTTCCTTTAAAGACTCTATGGAGTGCATTTTCAAGAGTATTCAATTTAAACCGGTCTTTGGCAGATTGTACTTGAACATAAGGGCTTAAAGAACCTGATGGCAAAATACTTAAAGGCACTGACAAGGTCGGCCAGCAGATCTCTTCAAAACGAACAGTGAAACATGAACCAGAAGGCACAAACGGAAAACGCAGTTGACGTGAATTTAAAGCCAAGAACGGGCAGAAACAGCGAGTGCATTAATTACCACTGTAACCTGCCGCAGATTGTTCAAAGATTGCTCAGGTCTGGAATTGCAAGTGTCCGGCACTTCCAGCAGGTCGGGAGAAAAGTGAGCGTTTTATAACCCGGCTTCAAGGGTTTAATCTGCTTAGCAAACAGACCGAGCCCGGCTTGATCAGATAAGGGCATTTTTGAGGAACAGTGAGCTTTTGTTAAGGTACAGTTTTGCAACTGTGAAAAGATTTATGTACTGTGATGAGTCATTGTAGTTCCCCCCCCCCCAAACACACCCCCCTGCATAGACTTGCAGTATGTGCCCTGGTCTTCATGTCCTTGTACTGGGGTTGTGTTGCTTGTAACATGTTTGCAGAAGTCGGTTCCATAACACTCTTGGATGAAACCTGGTCAGTTTGGAATTTTATCCTTTAATTTATTACCATGTCAGAAATGTGAGACCATATAAATCAAATTTGTCAGCAGCCATATCACCCTGCAGCTCTCAATTGGCTACCCACTGAAGCTAAGCAGGGTTGAGCCTGGTCAGTACAGCAGGGTTGAGCCTGCGTGGGAGACCTCCTAGGAAGCAAGGGTTTCTGCTGGAAGAGGAGTTGGTGGGTCCAGTGGGGGGCGCCCACCCTGTGGTCTGTGTGGGTCCTAATGCCCCAGTATCGTGACAGGGACGATATACTATAGTGGGCTCTGTCTTTCATATGAGACGTTAATCCGAGGTCCTGACTCTCTGTGGTCGTTAAAGATCCCTGGGCATTTCTCGATAAGAGTAGGGAGTTATCCCAGTATCCGGGCCAAATTTCCGCCCTCGGCCTTTACTGTGGCCTCCAAATTGTCCCCATGTTTGATTGGCTTGCACTTGCCCTGCGATGGACTGGCGCCCCATCCAGGGTGTACCCTGCCTTGCGCTCGTTGCCTGCCGGGTAGGCTCTGGCTTCCCATGATGCCGTATGGTATAAAGCAGTTTGGCAAATGACATGACATTAAATCAAATTTAAGGAAAAATAATATTGTGACAGCGGTTACTGCTGAAGATTGGGCATCAAAATGGAGAACTCCTGTGGTGTAGATCGGGGTGCATTTTATTTCTCTTGCATAATGAAAATAACTACCACAAGTCAAACTGCAGGGATAAAGCTGTTCCTTTGCAACCGTGAAGCGCTGAGCAGAGCCACGTCTTGTCCACAGAGCTGCAGCACCTCATGGACATTTCCACAGACCCGCAGAGCCTGAAGACTCAGAGCCTGCACCGGAGGGCCAGCCTCTCCCTGGACCACTTCTGGTGGCGAGTGGGGCAGGGCTCCCATATCCAGCAGGCCCCCCACCCCCCCGGGAAGCACGTCTGGGGGGAGGCACTCATCCTCGACTCCCTCGCTCTGCAGGTAGCGGCCTCTCCTCCGTCTGCTCTGCCTGCCAGCACAGGCCCAGCTGGGAAATCCCAGAACCGGTCAAGCACAGGTGATGCCGTGAAGAGGCGTAGCGCACAGAGGGTGTGCCTTTAAAATGAAAGGGTTCCCGCTGAACACGAGGTTTTTGCTAGAAGCAGATGCTTTATTTTAAATTTAGGGCTGCTTCTATATTGTGTTGGGACTTAAATCAAACGTGGGAGAGCAGTGGAAAAGAAATCATTTGTGGGACCCCTGAAAAAAAATCCCACAAAGCTGGGCATTTAGAGGATCTCCATTCCTTATTTTTCCAGGGAAGCTGCAATATCCCCCAGCTGGAAACCACCAGCCAGTCGGAGACCGTCTTCCTGGAGTCCAGTTTGAGTGGGCTGCAGGTGGAGGTTTCGGAGACGTGCGCCCAGTGTCTGTCCCGGCTTGTGTCCCTGCTGTCCAGTGATGCCGAGAAGAGACTCGAGGGGCCAGGCCACTGCCAGGACATGGAGCAAACGGCCCCGGTCCATCCTCCCCACCCCCCTCCGCTGCTCCTCCGCCTGGAGCTCGGCCTCGAGGACGTCAATGTGTTCACCCTCTCCAACGTCGCAGGTGATCCAGGAACTCCTCCTGTGGCTCTCCTGCCACCCCGTCTCACTCTTTTCCTCTGTCATGTCTGACTTCTCTTTGTGAGAAACTCGTCTGCTTTTCATCTCTTTAACGGTACTTTCTGTCGTTTGATGTTGTCGTTATGTTATCATCGAGGGCTTTGAGAGATGACTTCGCAAAAAGACCCCACGCAGTTGTTGCTTTGCATGTTTCTGGCTTTCTATGCCAGTATGTCCCCGTGTTCCCGTCTATAACGTCTGGTGATCTATCGGCCTTTCTCAGCCCCTCGGCTCACACACACGTTCCCCGTTCTCCCATCCCTCCCTCTCGCCGGCAGGAGCCGTGTCTCTGCGGGTGGACGCCGTGAAGACTCTGTGCACTGTGGAGAGTGCCCGGATGTCGGTGCAGGGGGTGTCGCTGTCTGTGGTGAAGCAGCTCACAGAGACCACACAGCCATGCTGCTCTGCGGCCGACGCCCCCAGCCCCCTCCTTAGCCTCGCCTCGCTCGTCGCCTGCTACCATGCCAGCACCTGGGCCCTGGAGGTACGTGGCTGAGTTCTCGCAGTGTCCTGCCAGCCTGTGCTCGGCTTTCAGAGAGCTGGTTTTAACAGCACCCAGGCAAAATCACATGGACTGGAGGCAGATTTGCCTTTTTAACTCTTCTTCTCACTTGCCCTGGAGTTAATCATGTATGTTTAAGGGTCCCACGTTTGGGAGACCTTTGAGTTTTGAAATTAGCTTTATTAAATTTTGGGTTTGTCAGTGGAGATTTTGCGGTGAGGCAAAAAGTTTCCAAAGTGTTGCCGTCACTCCTCACGGGCCAATAAAATGATTTATTTTCTTGATGCCCTGTGGTCCCCCAGCAAGGACTCAAGCCAGCAAGCCCCTAAGCTGGAGACAGACACACATTCCTTCTTCCAAAGAGGAAACGCGTGTAGTTGTGTACGCATCTGTCACGTGTCTGTCTAGCCTGCATGACGGGGGTCATGTTTGATGACGGGGGTCTCCTCGCCTTTTCAGTTTGCATGGTCTCATTCCAAAAAGTTTGCCGAGTCTTGAAACAAGCACAGCTCTGTCTCCAATCTTGATGTGGAGAGGAGTGGGGGGGTTGGGGTTGATGAACTTGAATCTTCTTTTGCCTGTTTGTAGATCCAGTGTGAGGAGCAGCTTGCAATGCAGTGGACCCCAGCAGACCACATGTTCCTGTACCACCATGTGGTGGAGTGCCAGGGCTCCTGGGGCCTGCTTGCCAGGGCCCTGAGGAGGGGTCCCAGTGAGGCCCCGGGGGAGCAGGAGGAGGGTGGGCCGCAGCAGGACCCCCACAGCTCTGCCCTCCCAACAGGGAGCTCGGCAGCGGGCCAGAAGAAGGTGCTGGGTCTTCGCCTGGAGCTGGGCCGCGCCTTGGCGACGGCCTTCGTCACAGAGCAGAACTTCATCCGCCTGCAGATTGATGGGATCTTGTTAACGCGGCACGGGGGCACGGTCCACCTGCAGGCGCCGCACCTGGTCTTCAACTTCGACGGCAACGAGATCTTCTCCTTCAGGGGGACAGAGGTGCAGATGCTGCCCGAGCTGGAGGAGATGATTTTGCACCGGAACAACTTTCCATTCCTGACCACCCAGCGCAACCGCACTTGGGTGTTTGAAGTGCCCAGCCTGTCCGTGGAGTTCCCCTACCAGTATGACTTCTCCAAGACGTTCGATGAGGCCATCAATGTCCAGAAGTGGCTGAAGACTTTGTACCACCAACCCGGTAGCAGGACGGCGCCAGAGTCACTCCCCCCCGACCTAGTCTTCCGGATTAGCCAGTTCTCCTTCGTGTTCCTGGATGACGTCTTTGAGATCAAGCTGCGGGACAACTACGAGCTGATGAAGGACGAGAGCAAGGAGAGCGCCAAGCGCCTGCAGCTGCTGGACAAGAAGGTGTCCGACCTGCGCAAGCAGCACGGGGAGCTCCTGCCCGCCCGCAAGATCGAGGAGCTGTACACCTCGCTGGAGCGCAAGCACATCGAGATCTACATCCAGCGCTCCCGCCGGCTCTACGCCAACACGCCCATGAGGAAGGCCCTGCTGACCTGGACCGTGTCGGACCTGGAGCTGGTGGTGCTGGCCGACCAGTCCCTCCACGGGCCCGAGAGGGTCCGGGAGCACATGAGGGACATCGATGACATCAGCCCGTACCCTCGCGATGGGCTGCCCCTGGTCATACAGTGGTGCCGCGCTGTCAAGTTCAAGCTGAACGCCTTCTTAGGTGAGTCTTGCAGATAGTGTTGGCTTGGCGCTTTCTCACGCCAATGCCTAGAATAATGTCTTCTGGTCTTGTTTCTGATTACGTTTTCCTTACAGAACCCGAATGCATCTCTTACTGATTTGTTCTGAATTTGTTAGCGAGGGTTGATTTAAAGCATCGTGTGAATCCTGAGTGAGAGACCGACCCTTAAGGGCTAAATTCAACCAGAAGCTCTAGAAAATTTAGGAGAGCTCTAAATCACGCCTAGTACAATCCATGGACTTGCAAGCTTTTTGGATGGATGTCCTTTCCCTAACTTATTGCAGTTTCCTTTTTGGGTTCACCATTCATTTTTACAGTAATAAGGATGTTGCTGAATTCAACTTAAACCTGACTTGTGTATTAATAAAAGCCTGTCCACATCCAATGAGTAACTTGTATTAATACATCTCGTCTTCGTGATGCAGGTAAGTCAAGCGTTGCCTCTCGCCACATTCTGCATTATGTTTTTTTTTTTAGTTTTTATCTCTGCAGAGAGGTCCTCTTCTTCTGCATTTCTCCTGTTGTCTGTCTGACCAAAGCAGAAATGCTGTTGTAAAAAGAAAATCTCCCTTCCCGTTCCTTTGCATCGATCCGTCACTTTCCGACAGCATCTCCGAGCCCTGCTTTAAATCGGAGCTGCTCCCGCCATTTCATCCACCCACGTCCACCCCCGACCTCCCCCCTCCCCCCTCCCAGGGCCAGCGGGCCGCCGTCGTGGTCGCAGCCTGAAAGCTCCGTGTTCGCTTGTGTGCCCGCAGTGCGGATCCGGGACTACCCGCGCTACCTGTTTGAGATCCGGGACTGGGAGCTGGCGGGAAGGCTGATCGGGACGGAGCAGGACGGGCACCCCCGGGCGCGGCGCAAGCAAGCGGTCCAGCTGGGACACCCCTGGGGAACCGTCACGGTGGAGCGGAACATGCCCCCTCTCAAGTTCTACTACGACTTCCACTGTGAGTGAAACGCATAGACACAGGTCTATGAAAGGGGAACTGCAGTCCCAGTTTCTCAGACCAGCTATTAAATCTTGGTAACTATAAATCCACTGACGTTGTAGAAAAAAATGACAAATTTCGAATTGAGCACAAAATCGTGAACTCTGTGGAAGTACCGCAAGTCACCGTGTTGTCGATAACACCTGGTCCCGCCATGGCCGAGAGAGAGAGTTCGCACAAATTGTGACGTGATGAGGCCCTTCCTGCTCACTAGTCACCATGATGACTAATGTAACGCGATGTACAAGAGAATAAGCACAGGTTGTGCAGCGGACATTTCACCGCAGGAATGTTCGAACCTGATCTGCGTGTAGAGTTAACAAGTCAGTTCCATTTATCAGCAAAACAATCTTAATGTCAAGAGCATTATCTCCATTGGATTAAAAGAGATTTATTCACAAGCCTGCTTGTTTGCAGTGTTATTAACAGGGCCGCTTCACCTCACTGGAAGGTTTGTTGCCTCGTTCTGAATCGCAGAACATGGTGCTGCACAGACCTGGAAATTGTTTTTATTTTAAGGGGAGGTTTTACAAGGTACTGTGTACATTTGACTTTTATTGTGGTTTGAAATGCACTCGTCAAAGCTGATTCTTTCTAACCCAGAACTATAAAAATAGCGTTGCAGTTCCCCTTTAAGAACTGTCAGTACATGACTCCCTTTATCAGAAGCAGGGTTATCCACTAATGTGCAGTAAGTGTTATGCAAACACCTCAGTGACTTGCATTCATTATACCTGCTCTGTGTTTTCAGCACAGCATGTGATTGCAGGTGTGAGCCTAACACATACCTCTGCCTCCTTACTCATGATTCGATTCTTCCCTCCCCAACACAGCGGAGATCTCCCTGTACACCATCGTCTGGGGGCCGTGCTGGGACCCGGCCTGGACTCTGATTGGCCAAGCGGTGGACCTGCTGACGAAGCCCACGGCTGACCCCAGCCCCCCTCTGACCTGGTGGGACAAGAGCAGGCTGCTGCTGCACGGGCGCTGGGTCATGGACATCGACCAGGCCAACCTGCACCAGCTGGCCACTGAGGTGCCCGTTCACTTAACCTTGCGGAGATGGGGAGCCGCTGCCGGTATAAAATGAGCAGCGGGGGTATACAGGGAGTGTGTGTACCAAAGCACAACATGGTACATGCCAGCTTGGCCCTGTGCCAGTGCTTGTGGTGAAGATTAACGTCCAGTTGTGCTGTGGAGATGCTGGGCTATTCCTTTATTATTTTATAAAATATTATTATTATTATTTATTCATTTCTAATCCTGTGCTGTTCATAAAATGCGCATGTTGTGCTTTAAAAGAAGAGGTGCCAAGGTTTGTCAGTGCACAAATGAACCTTGGAGACTGTGATCTCGGTCACTGTACCTTGCAAAAGCCCTCTGTATCGTTGAATGTGAACAGGATAGGGGTTACAGACCGGAGGAGGGAGTTTGATTCATTGCTCATGTAGAATGCCGTGAAATGTTCTCCAGAACAGTTGAACTTGAACTCCACCCTGGTTTTCTGTGTGGTGGAGCTCTTCCAAGCTGGCTGTCTGCCTCCTTTGTGCAGGACCCCTACAACACCACGGAGAACATGCACTGGGAGTGGAACAAGCTGAACTTCGACTGGAAACCAGGGCAGTTTGTGTACAGAGGGGACATGGATGTCAATGTCAGGACTGCTTCCAAGTAAGGATTAGTTAGACCTGCCCCATGGGGTTGACTCTTTGTCAGCAGCCATATCACCTTGTGAGGAAATTATTATTGTTATTATTGTTATTATCATCATTATTGAAATGTGTATCTGAACTTGTCTGGCACAAAGAAACTCATGCTAACAGATGGTAACGGCTGTGTGTCTCCAGGTTAAAAATGGGAAATATTTTCGTGGCTCCATCAGCTTCAGTGCTTTTGCATTCAGCATTGATGCTCTGAGCTGCAACCAACTAGTAGAAGTACAGTAGTCCATGCTTCTCAATTCCACTTCTGTCCGTGTTTGCATCCTGTTCTCAAGGTATGACGACTGCTGCTTCCTGCACCTGCCGAGCCTATGCATGACCCTTGACCTGCAGTGGCTGTGCCACGGGAACCCACACGACCATCATTCCGTGACGCTGTGCTCCCCGGAGTGCGTGGCGGAGATGACCTCCGGTCAGCCGCACGACTCCTACAGGGCCTTCCGCTCCGAGAACCTCAACCTCTCCATTACCATGGACCTCAACCAGCATCGTGGGGGTAAGTGCTGGAGGCAGGGGGCATGCGGGAGGTGGGGGAGCTGGCATGGGTGGGGAAGGAACAAGAGGGAAGGGTTACTTGGAGAAGGGAGGCTGGCAGAGAGAAGGGAGATGAGTGGCTCACGAGTTGGAAAGAGAAGGAGCCATATCTCCCCTGCAGCTCCCAGCCCACTGAAGCTCAGCAGGAGTGAGCCTGGTCAGTACCTGGATGGGAGACTCCTGGAAAAGCTACTGTAACTGCTGGAAGTGGTGTTAGTGGGGCCAGCAGGGGGCGCTCACCCCACAGTCTGTGTGGGTCCTAATGCCCCAGTATAGCGACGGGGACACTGTGCTGTAAAAAGGCGCCGTCCCACAATGAGACATAAAACGTAATGACTTTGTGGTCATTAAAAATCCCAGGGCGTTTCCCAAAAAGAGTAGGGGTGTTACCATGGCATCCTGGCCAAATTTCCCATTGACCTTTACCAATCATGGCCTCCTAATAATCCCCATATCTGAACTGGCTTCATCACTCGGAGCTGGTGTGTGGGGAGTGTACTGGTGCATCATCCAGGTGGGGCTGCACACTGGTGGTGGTGGAGGGGATCCCCATTACCTGTAAAGCGCTTTTAGTGGAGTGTCCAGAAAAGCACTATATAAGTGTAAGAAATGATTTTTATGAGAAGGAAGTTGAGTTGGGGGTACAGGAGGGAGGGGAATCATGAATGAGAGGTGTTGGCAGTATTGTGGGCACATGAAACCGAACCCTGTCTGGACGGGCTGTTTGAGAGGTGTTCCGTCCCTTAGAGGCGTGCCAGCCCCGGATCCTGCTCTACAGCAGCACTCTGCGCTGGATGCAGAACTTCTGGGCCACCTGGACCAGCGTGTCGCGGCCCATCTGTCGGGGGAAGCTCTTTCATAACATGAGGCCGATCCGCAAGAAGCTGGGCCAGCACTACAAACAGCTGTCCTACACCGCCTGCTTCCCACAGCTGCAGGTGAGCCAGCTAAGGCTATTGCACTCCGGCGCCTCCGGATTCGTGCTGTAGTACTTTTTATGATCTACTGTATATCTGAACGACAGTATCGGGCAAAGCAATCCTAGTGCAGATACAGCTACAGATTATAACCTGAATTACATTTAGCAGTGATAACTGGAATGGAATGGCGAGTGGTGGGGGCAGAGCAAGAATAATCATGCAGGCCACGTCGGAGTGATTTGCATGTCACGTTTCTCTGGCCTGCCCTGGCAGGTGCACTACTGGGCATCCTTCGCCCAGCAGCGGGGGATCCAGGTGGAGTGCAGCAAGGGACACGTCTTCACACGGGGGACGCAGAGACTCGTCCCGCAAGGTGAGTGCGCGTGATCGCGGATACCAGTCGCCGGCTAAAGACAATCCGATGAGTAGAGCCTCATTTTTGGGGGGAGGATAGGGATTTGCCCGAACTCCCTGCTAGGTAGAACTGTCTGTGTAGAACAAGGGTGTAAAGTGCTGTGTGTTCGCCAAATGCATGGCACGTGGAACCTTTTGGATTTAAGCCTCTGATTATTTTGAAATTGTTGCTAAGAAACAAAGTTGCCCAAAATGGGTCAAACCGCAATCCGGTGGGATTTGTACTCCCTTTCCTGATCCCGCTTCCTCCTCTCCCGTTTCCTGTCCTGGCCCAGCTGGCACGGTGATGCGGCGGCTGATCTCCGAGTGGAACGTGACCCAGATGGTCAGCGACCTGTCCCTGGTGACCGTCCACCTCATGGCCTCCACCTGGGACGAGACGGCGGACCACCAGCCCAACGCCCAGGTGAAGAAGACCCACCTGCTGAGCCTGTCCTCACTCAGCTACCAGCGGCAGAGCAACCGCTTGGGAGAGGTACGGCCTGGGGGGGTCGGGACGCTTGGACCAGCACGGACAATGGCATCTGAACAATTTCTAGTCAGTATTTAAGTGTAAAGGCGTCCATATTTAATGTACTTGAGTACTAAACCCCTGCACGTTACTCCAACTGGATGCAGGGGTGTCAGACTTCGTTCTTTGAATGCTGCACGGTCTTTTACTGCTTCCTGTGCTCGGGTCCTAAAATGGTCCAATTATTTGATGATCCGGACCAATTCTCTGCGACTCAGAAGAGTCTCATCGTAAACATGCATCTCTTGAGTCAGCGTTTGTAAAAGACCTTTCACGTGTGTCCCTTTAGGTAGGGAGTTGTATCTGTGTAGTCAGGGGACAGGAATTTACAACATCTGATCTCACCAGCAGTAGCTTATCCCTATTCTTTGTGGTGCTGTGTGTGTGTTTTATTCCATCAATAAGCCCAAAGCTTTTTTTCTTATTTTATTTTTATTCATTTTCAACCAATTTCTTATACAATCATGAATGAGCAGTAAGGCTAAGATAACAAAAAAAACACCATTATAGAAAATAGTATCCAATGGGGCGGAGCGGTGGCTCTGTGGCTCAGGATCTGTGCCTGTGGCTGGAAGGTTGCCGGTTCGAATCCCGCAGCCGGCAGAGGAATCCTACTCCGTTGGGCCCCTGAGCAAGGCCCTTCACCCCAACTGCTCCAGGGGCGCCGTATAAATGGCTGACCCTGCGCTCTGACCCCCAGCTTCTCTCCCTCTCTGTGTGTCTCATGGAGAGCAAGCTGGGGTATGCGAAAAGACAATTCCTAATGCAAGAAATTGTAAAGGGTTAATAAAGTGATTAAGATACTAATATTATTATTATAATTATAATTATTATTTCGGAAAGGTAGAGGTACAAACAAATTCTCCAGTCTTCAATTCCCCTCTAGCTCTCTGGTTATATCCAGCTGTCCTTCCCGTCCAGCATAGCTCCCCTCCTCCCCTTTGGGGATCCCTCTTTCACACATCCTGACCCTTTAACTCCACTGGCATGCACTCTATTAGAGGGGACCAGTTTTAGAGTGTGTGTCGGCATTAATGATGCAGAGGGCATTTTCCGATGTGTGCATGGCCCGTCTGCAGGAGGTGTCGGCGAAGGAGGAGGGCAGTGCCTTTTACACCCACAAGCTGTGCCTGGTAGACCTGCGTGCCTCCTGGACCACCACCAACCGCAACATCGCGTTCGGCCTCTATGATGGCTACAAGAAGGCCGCCGTGCTGAAGAGGAACCTCTCCACGGAGGCGCTGAAGGGGCTGAGGATCGACACCCAGCTCCAGGCGAAGAAGCTGAAGCGCACGCTGTCCAGCTACTCGCCCACCCCCACCCCCACCCCAGCTGCCGCCTCCAACAGCAGGCCCGAGAAGAGCCAGAACGAGGGTGCGTGCCCGCCTGGTCGCGTCCTGCAACGCGCCCGGGGCGAAGGGATAGCCCTGTTCCCCGTTCGGGACGCTGTCTCTGCTGGGAGGTGATCCCGTTTGTGCATCCAGTCCCGTTTTTGTTTTTTTTCCCGTAGGGACCTCGATGCTGCAGAAGCTGATCGAGGAGACGGACAAGTTCGTGGTGTTCTCGGAGGAGGACGCCGGCGTGAGCGACCAGCTGTGCGGCATCGCGGCCTGTCAGACCGACGACATCTACAACCGCAACTGGCTGATCGAGCTGGTCAACTGCCAGGTAGTCGGCACCCCGGCCCATCTGTCTGCCTCCCACTCTCACGTCCGGTTGTGCATCTGCACATCTTTCCAGACAGTTGTATGATGCATGATTACAGTCATGGGATGTGCTGGTTAATGGTCTGTTCATCTCATTATTAATAAGATTGCTGTTTGTGTTGTGGTCCTTTTTATAGCTTACAACAGATTCGGAATTAATTCTAGGAAAGTGCCAGGCTTAATTAAGATAATCTAGTATACACCTAACATCTTGGACTTGGCCTTTCTCTTTAATCCTTTATATGTTTTATTTATTCACTGGCCGTAAGCTTTAATTTCATTCACCGTGTCCCGATAACGTTCTACTGTTAAAAAACAAGCATATCGTTTTTAGACACGTGAATTCAAGTGCTTTTTTTGCTTCATTGAAAAATAGAAAGTAGTCAGCATCTCGGAGGTGAAGTGCGTGGGTGTTCTCCACAGATGATGCTGCGTGGTACGGAGACGGCGGGCTGCGTGCTGGTGTCTGCAGCCAAGGCCCAGCTGCTGCAGTGTGAGCACCACCCTGCCTGGTACAACGACACGCTCAAGCAGAAGACCACCTGGACCTGCCTGCTGGACGGCATGCAGTACTTCGCCACCATGGAGTCCAACCCCTCAGACCAGGAGGACTGGCAGCTCTGGCTGGAGGTCAGGCTCGGTCTGCCCTCAGGGTTCGACTGCACGCGGCCACGGGATCGGGGATGTGATTGCGTTTAGGAGCGAATACGCACTTCTTGAAAGGCGTGCTGAAAAATTGCAGTTCGATTTAGAACCTTTGAGTTCGAAGTTCAGTTGTAGGTCGGGCTTGGTTTAGGGTAGAGTCTTCTTGCACTTTGGATGCACCCCCTTGCCGTTATCCAGACTGGCTTTGACCTCGTAGCCTTCTGCACCCCTGCAGGTGAAGAACATTGAGGAGCACCGCCAGCGACACATGGACTCCGTGCTGGAGCTGATGGAGGGCGGGCAGGCTGTTGGGGGCATGGTCAGCACTACCACTGGTAAGGCTACTCGCTTGACCCCTGGCACATACAGACAAGCAGCAGCCGAAGCTTGGGGCAAATTCCAGGGTGTCTAATCCCGGAGTGCTGGTGTGTCTGCAGGTTTCCTGGGTCTCTTGAAAGCAGCACCTGAGTTGCTCAGGCAAGCTGTGACCGTGGTCCAGTCAAGGCAGTAACCTACTGGCTTAGCTTGTTAAGAGCTGAGCTGGAGTGAAGCCTGCAGACACGCCGGCCCTCCAGGACCAGGGTTGGATACCCCTGGAATTTGCCCCAAACTTGTGCTGCTCTTGCTTGGGAAAAAAAAAGTCAGATGATTTTAAGGTAATAACTGCAACTAGGACAAACAGTATAAGTAATTTGTGCACCAAGATTACACTATTAACCTTCATCTTGCATCGCTTATCCTAAGCAGCCTTCGTGAGCCCTTTCACAGTCCCTGCTGCTGCACTGTTTCCCCAGACTGGAACCAGCCGTCTCAGGTGCAGCAGACGCAGCAGGTCCAGCGCATTATCTCGCGCTGCAGCTGCCGCATGTACTACATCGGCTACAGCCACGACATCGACCCCGAGCTGGCCACGCAGATCAAGCCCCCCGAGATCCGGGACAGCCACGAGAAGGAGGACCTGCTGAAGAAACAGGATGGTCAGGATCTCCCTCCACTGTCCGTCCTCCTGTTGTCCCCCCTGAATTTCCTGAATTTCACCCACCTGTCAGTTGCTGTTAAGATCGTTGCTTAATGCTTCAAGGCTCTCTTGTTGAGTGAATATATTCCTGATTCTGTAAGAGGCAGTGGAACTGTGTTATCGCATCAATCTTATAACCTCACAAGACTGCTTTGTTTTCCCTCTTCTGCAAGTGTGCGTGTTCTTGTTAAAGCTGACTCCGCTGTGTCTGTGTCTGTGGTTGCCAGGAGCTGTCGATACCTTCACCCTTATTCACCACGAGCTGGAGATCTCCACAAATCCAGTGCAGTACGCCATGATCCTGGACATTGTCAACAACCTGCTTCTGCACGTGGAGCCCAAGCGGAAGGTACCCAGGCATCACAGCCTCTTAGAGATCACTTTCTCAGCCATATACAATTTCTTGCATTAGAAATTTGTCTTTTCCCATACCCCAGCTTGCTCCCCATGAGAGAGCTCTCCAGCTTGGGGTCAGAGTGCAGGATCAGCCATTTATACGGCGCCCCTGGAGCAGTTGGGGTGAAGGGCCTTGCTCAGGGGCCCAACAGAGTAGGATTCCTCTGCCGGCCGCGGGATACGAACCGGCAACCTTCCAGCCACAGGCGTGGATCCTGAGCCACAGAGCCACCCCTCTGCCCTCCACAGCAGTGCCCTCAAGCGCACGTGTGCCTGTTAATGGTTCTTAAGAATAATATAGGACCCCCTCGAAAAAATAAAACTGAAGCTGTTTATTTAAAAGTTTTTTCATTTATGTTTCTATGATTTCTACCAGCTGGCAATCTGCTCTGTGCTGATGGTATGGAGGGTTCAAGCATGTAAAATACCTTGTTTAGGACCTGTATTGTGCGATCTGTAGCCTGACTCTACAGAGCTCGCGGGGGTCTTGTGAGGGGCCGCAGACCACCATGTTGTCCGGACGCTGCAGACAGCTGGTGCTGACCAGATTTTAGTCTGCAAAGCAACAAATGCACAGTGCGAGTGTGACTGCAGTCCTTGCAGTAGATATTCTTTGCTGAATGTTTTTTTTTAACCTTTTTTGAAAATCTAAGCATTTGTTGTGAAGAGACCACGTGCCTGTTTCTTCAGGGTTTCCAGATGGTAGAGGGTCATACAGTCTGTAGCTGGGGTGTGTGGGGTCTTTGATGATGCTTGGAGCTTTCCTCAAGCACCATCTGTCATAAATGTCCTGGATGGATGGGAGGGCAACCCCAGTG